CATGGTTACACCTTACATAACTGGTACAGTAGCAAAACCAGGAAACTGACATTGGTATAGAGACTATAGTCTAATACTATAGTCTATATAGTATTAGACTATAATACTATAGTATTATAGTATAGTATAGGATAATACTATAGTATCCTATCTAATAAAAGATGAAAAGGATAATTAACCGTACCTCCGCTACGCTTCCCATTGGCTAATCAGGGCGATATGCAAATTAACTGCCAACAAAGATGGCGGCCGGCAGCCATGCAGCTGAAGCAAACATGAGGCTTGCTTGCTCCAGTGATGGAGGAAGCCAAGGTTCCCGGCCTGCCGCGGCCCGGCTCTGAGCCCGAAAGCAACAATGTTTCAATTATAGAAGCTAAACAAACCCCAGATACCTGCTTTCAGCCGGCCGCGGCCTCAGAGCTGGGAGCGCCAGTGATGCAACAGTTTTAATTATAGAAGGTAAATAAATCCCAGAATTAAAAAAAAAAGAAAAAAAGGAGAGGCTGGGAGCTTCAGTCGCCGGCCAGCCTGAAAACGACCCTCAGCCCCTCACCCAGACTGGCCAGGCACCCCAGTGGGGACCCCCACCCTGAAGGGGGTGTGACCAGCTGCAAACAGCCATCAGCCCCTCACCCAGGCTGTCCAGGCACCCCAGCAGGACCCCCACCCTGATCCAGGACACCCTTCAAGGAAAACCAGCCGGCCCCCACCCATGCACCAGGCCTCTATCCTATATAGTAAAAGGGTAATGTGCAAATTGACCCTAACAGCAGAAGGACTGGGAATGACTGGTCACTATGACACACACTGACCACCAGGGGGCAGACGCTCAATGCAGGAGCTGCCCTCTGGTGGTCTGTGAGCTCCCACATAGGGGAGCTCTGCTCAGCCACAATCCAGGCTGATGGCTGCCAGTACAGTGGTGGTGGTGGGAGCCTCTCCTGCCTCCTCAGCAGCGCTAAGGATGTCCGACTGCAGCTTAGGTCTGCTCCCCACTGGCAAGTGGACATCCCCTGAGGGCTGCCGGGCTGCCAGAGGGATGTCTGATTGCCAGCTTAAGCCCAATCCCCCGGGGAGCAGGCCTAAGCCAGCAGGTGGTCATCCCCGGAGGGGTCCCAGACTGCGAGAGGGCACAGGCTGGGCTGAGGGACCCCCACCCCGAGTGCACAAATTTTTGTGCACCGGGCCTCTAGTTATAGTATAAACTATAATACTCTAGTCTAATCCATAGAACTTACTCAGCATTCACCAGTTGTACATGCATTGATTTTTATGTGCATTTGTACATGGTTTTTACAGTTTGTCACATGTGTAGATTCATGTAACCACTACCCTATTCAAGATCCAGACTGGTCTATGACCACAGACTCCTTTGTGCAGCCTTAATAGCCACACTTGCCTTCCCCGTGGCAAACGCTGATCTTTTTCTATCCTGCAAATTTACAGTGTGTAACCTTTGTGATTGCCTTTTATTTTTTCACTCAACATAATTCCCATGAGGCCCATTCAAATTACTGCATATCCATAGTTTGTAGTATTGCATGGCATGGGCATTCCACAATCTGTTTAATCATTCACCAATTGAAGGATATTTGAATTAGTCCCTGTTTTTTACTAAAATGAATAAAGCTGCTATAAACATTTGTGTACGGGCTTTTATGTGAATACAGATTTTCATTTCTCTGGGTTAAATTCCCAAGAGTGCCGTTGCTGGGCTATATGTTAAATGCATGCTTAGTTTTATAAAAAGCATAAACTATTTTCCAGAGTACCTGCACCGTTTTATTTTCTCACCAGCAATGTATGAGGATTCAGTTTCTTTGCATCCTTTCCAGCATTTAGCATTATCACTTTAAAACATTTTTTTTGCCATCTGGTAGATCTATAATGATTTTATGGTTTTAATATTTATTTCCCTAGTGGCTAATGATGCTGAATATCTTTTCATGTTCTTATTTGTCTTTTGGATATCCACTTTGGTGAAATGTCTGCTCATGTGTTTTGCCTATTGACTAATTGGATTGTTAATTTATCTTTTTTACAGTTCAGTTTTGAGAGTTCTTTATATATTCTAGATTGACTGTTTTTTTGTGTGTGTGTGTGTGTGTGCCATTGTTTTTTTGGGCAGTTTGATTATGATGTGCCTTAGTGTGGTTTTCTTTGTTTCTTCTGCTCGGAGTCTGTTGAGCTTCTTGGATTTGTGGGTTTATAGTTTTATGAAACTTGATAAGATTTTGGCCATTGTTTCTTTAAATATTTGTTCTGGACCCTCTTTTTCCCTGGGACTCTAATTACATACATTTTAGATGTTTCATAGTGTCCCAGAGCTCTCTTACAACTTTTTTTGGTCTTTTTGTCACCTGTGTTTTAGTTTGGATATTTCCTAGTGCTATGATTTCAAGTTCACCAATCTTTCCTTTTGCAATGTCTAATCTGCTGTTAACCATTCCCAGTGCATATTTCATTCAGAGATTGTATTTTCATCTGTAGAAATTCCGTTTGAGTTTTTTGTATCTTCCATGTTTCTCCTTAACATGTTTATACTTTTCTCTACCTTCTTGAACCTACAGAGTATATATATAATGGCCATCCTTGTCTGCTAATTTGATCTTCTGTCCTTTTTGGACCTGTTTCTGCTGATTGGGTTTTTTTCTCTGGTAATTATACATATTTTCCTGCTTCTTTGTCTGGTAATTTTTGATTGGTTGCTGGACATTTTGGGTGTTTACATTGCTGGTTACTGGATTTTATGATACTTCTTTAAATACTGTTTGGATTTTTTCAGGGATGTAATCCAGGTAATTGGAATCAGTTTGGTCCTTTCAAGGCTTTCTTTTCCTAATACCCCACATGTTTGAAGATTTTTCCACTTTTTCTCCACCCTGTGTGAGCTTGACTTCTGCTTTCTGGTTGGTGTTTTTTCCTATAGTCTCAGGTGGTTTCTCACATGTACAGGTATAGAAAGACCAATATTCAGCCAAAGACTCGAGGGACCCTTTGGCAAATCTCCAGAACTTTCTCTCTCTGCAAGTCTTTCCCCCCCAACTGTCTCCTCAATTCACTGAGACCTGTGGGCTCTGTTGGGATTCTCCCTCCTTGTGCTGAGGTGTGGAGACCCAGGTAGTGAGCTCGAGGACTTACAGAGCTCAGGCTGTTTGTGTGTAAAGAAAACCTCCTAAGTAGGGAGAAGCCCAGTTCTCCACCCCCTTCTTTGTTCTTTCCTGTGAGCCGTGTGTCTCCTTCACCGCTCCACACAGAACACTTCATCTGGTCACTGAATGTGTGGAGGTTTCCCCCCACACTAGGCAATTCTGTGATGCCGGTGGGTGTCCTACACTTTAACTAATTCTGACACTATGTGGAGAAAATGTCAGACCCTTCAGGTTGAGGGCTCAGTCCCACCAAACCTCTTCTACCCCATCTCAGCAGCAAATGCAAGTGGTGGGTCCCCAGGTTCACACAACTTCTGTCTGATTTGCTTACAGATCGAAGGTCCCCACAACCCCCTCCTTATGTGATTAATTTGGTGGAGCAGCTCGCAGAGCTCAGGGAAATACTCATGTTTATTCACCAGTTTATTGAAGGACACGATAAAGGATGCAGATGAGCAGCTCGGTGAAGAGCTACACAGGGAGAGGTTTGGGAGGGTTCTGAGTCCAAGAACTTCTGTCATGTGGCGTTAGGGTGCGCCACCCTCCCAGTGAGGATATGTTTGCCTGCTTGGAAGATGTCTGAACCATGTACTATTGGGATCTTCCTCATTTTGGCATGATCAACTATTAACTTCCATTCCAGCCTCTCTCTGGAGGATGGGGTAGGCCTGAACATTCCAAGCTTTTAATCATGGCTTAGTCTTTCCGGAGATCAGCTCCCATCCGGAAGCCGTCCAGGGGCCACCTAGAGTCGCCTTCATGGAACAGAAGGTGCCCCCGGTGCTCTTGTCACCCAGGAAATTACAAGGATTTCGGGGGCTCTGTGCAGGAGCCGGGGACAGAGAACAATACGTACTTCCTATTATCTCACGCTTTCCCTTCTCTCAGGAATCTCAGCCTTGCGTTACCTGTTGTCCAATATCTAAAAACATTTGTTCATATATTTTGGTTGGTTTTCTAATTATTTAAAGTATGAGGTTTTATCTACTGCCAATGACCCCGTCATATCTGGAAGCGAAAGCTCAACTCCTTCCTTTTTATCAATGAGTGGTGTTCCATTGGGTGGATATGCCACATTTGTTCAAGCCTTCACCTGTTGTTGGCATGCGAGTTGTTTCTAATTTTTGGCTCTTATTAATGAAACTGTACAAGTCTTTGTGTGGACATGTGTGTTAATTTCTCGTGAGTAAATACTTAGGGGTTGGATTCCTGGATCATAGAGTATTATATATTTAACTTTTAAGACATTGCCAAGCAGTTTTCCAAAGTGGCTGTATCAGCAACGTATGTGTAAGAGTTCTTGCTCTACATTACCACCAACACTTGGTATTATCAGGTTTTTAAATATTTAGCCATTATAGGGGGTATGTAGTGGTATCTCATTGTGGATTAAATTTGCATGTTCTGGTAACTAATGATGTTGATCATCTTTAATGTGCTTATTGGCGATTTGTATTTTTTAAATAAAGTTTATCATTCCCTCCGCTCCCCCCCACCCCCCCATTGGCTATCTTCTTCTAACTGAATTGCAAGAGTTCTTTTTATATCCTGGACATACATTCTCTGTTAGATATAACAGAGTCCTTGATTTTAAGCACTCCTCTTGCTTGGTTGAGGGGAATGGGAGAGAGGGTAAGACTTTAAATAGGAGAGAGAGGCTTGTGTCTTAGACTAGGATTGGGGTTTAGATGGGGCAGAGTAGATGGAATTTTAAAATTATTTTGAAAAAACCTCAAAGGATTCTGGGTCCGTTTGTCTTTCCCTTTTGTCTTCTGAATCTTTTTAAATATGTTTAAGAAATCAAACTGAAATTATTTATATGATAATTATGCTGGAATTAATCACAGGATGGCGTCTCAGGAACCTAGGACATACGCTCCCGTCCTTTTCCTTTTTCTGAGCCATGGCGTGGCAAGTCTCGGTGCAAATTCCAGCCAGGGTGAGTCCCAAGGGAGGAAAACTCCCATGGTTCCCACACATGGGAGGGGTGGAGAGGGGATGGGCCAGCTTCGGTACTTGATGCTGTGAGGTATTCCGGAGTGTGTGTGTCCCGGTGTGCGTGCAGGAGCACACGTAGGGTTTTCACGGTTATGCTAAAAGGGGTTTTCAGACCCGGGTTTTCTCACACTGGGCACATGTAGGCGCGGGCTGATTAAAACCCACTATAATTTTCCTTCACGGCTTTTAGGGGGACTCTTATCTGAACCCACATTTGTATCTTTGACGTTTGCACAGTTCAATTCGTTATGCATTCATTGTTTTCTTACAGATTTGCATCCATTGCTGCAAAAAATGGCAGTGAGTATTCCTTTTTCTTTCTTTAACCCAGGCCTCTTCTACGGTTTTGGATGTTATGCTTAACTGCTGTCCCTTTGCCTTTTAGGAAGAAATAATAGATGGGAACTATCTGAATGGTAATGTCCCCACTTGCTGCTTCTGAGAATCTCACACCGAATGTGACCGATCTCTCTGGAGCGACTCGTTTTTAAGCATCTTTCATTTTATTCCCCTTCTAGCGTTCCTGGATCTCATACAGTTTCAAAGGTAACCTGCCCTTGGGGTGGGGGGGAGGGGGGAATGGGATAGATTTTCAGTAAAAGCTCTTCGTGAAAGTCTCTTAGTTGTAAAAGTAATACATACGCATTACAAACAATGTCAACCAGAGCACAAGTGTGTTTTTTTTAAGTAGACACATGTGTTCCACAAACGTATTCCTCTCTGCTCTGGCACAGGGACTGACGGTTACTGAGTGCTCGCTCCGTAGGGGGACTATTCTCAGTGCTTGACGCAGAGAAACACGTCGGTCCTCACTGCACCCTGGGTGGCCCTGCTGCTGTCCCATTAGACAGGATGGTGACACCGGGGCCCAGGGAGGAGGCGTCCGGCCACGCCGCCCGCGGGAACGGGGGGTGGGGGGGGGGGGAGCTCCACACCATGGCCTTCACCGTGGTGTCGTCCGTGCTGCCCACGGTGGTGTGAGATACCTGGGACACAAGGCAGGGTCCTGGAGAGTCTTGGGGAAAGACAAATGTTAGCAGCTAATTATAACACCACGAGGGAGCAGAAATGGAGGCCTTGGGGCCTCATGACAGGGCGCCCAATTATGCTAAAGTGATAGACCCGCATGAACACTCCTCTCCCTAAGATAACTCCAATGGGTAGTTTTGGGTATTTTTTCAGGCTAAAGTGTTTATTTATTAATTTGTTATTCATTCATCACTTATAACAAAAATGGGCTTATGGAAGGCCTTCTAGTGGCTCACAGCAGGAGGGTTTACCGCCGCCAGGCACGCCACTATCTGGAGCAGACGCCTGGCCATAGCTTTTTAGTGGTGAGTGGTGCTCCGCTGAGCGCTCGCCATGCTTGCTGGCCCTCCGCCTGTTACTGGATGTTTGAGTTGGTTCTGGTTTTTGGCTGTTGTGAATGGAGCTGTGCATTTTCTATGTGTTAGGCACTGGGTGAAGCACTTACCCTGTGTAAGCAAATTGAATCCTGACAATTGTATAACAGAAGGGGAAACTGAGGCACAGGGCAATTCAGTAAACTGCTTAAGGCCGCACAGCTGAGTGACTGAGCCAGCATTCAAATCCAGGTTCTGAGCCTACTCTTCACAATCTATTCCAGCCTCTCATGGTGCACACAGCACCTGCTTTTATTTATTATTATTTTTTTAAAAATATATTTTTATTGATTTCAAAGAGGAAAGTTGAGGGAGAGAGAGATAGAAACATCAATGATGAGAGAGAATCACTGATTGGCTGTCTCCTGCACGCCCCCTACTGGGGATCAAGCCTGCAACCTGGGCATGTGCTCTTGACTGGAATCGAATCTGGGACCTTCAGTCCACAGGCCGACGCTGTATCCAGTGAGCTAAACCTGTTAGGGCCTATTTTTAAACTTAATTTAGTAGGACCTTTCTCAGTTCATCTGTTTGAACTGTAGCTGATTTAGGTGGATTGTTGTGGGAAGTGGAATAGTGCACACAGCTCAGAGATTGCTAGTTGTCCTTGGGAGAATGGGATCCAGGCGGATCCCTAAATTGGAACCCCCCCCGACCCCACCCACTGTGTCCCTTCCCCCGGCACGCACAGTTTCTAGCATCCCAGCCACCGCCCCATCCTCTCTGACTTCTATCCCCTGGCCACTCAGCGAGCAGGAGAACTGCCCGGCACAGGGAGCTGCCTTCCTGACCTTCTCCCATCTGTCTCTGACCGAAGCTCCCACCTGTGGACGGCGGACCTGTCCCACGGAGTCCTGGCCTACCTGCACGCACGGAACGTGGCCTTCACCATCCCCAGCCTGCAGGTGTGTGTCGGTGCCCATCCCCGTGTGCTCGCTGTCTGTGCTCAGGGGCTGCAGACTCCGGCCAGGGAAGTGGAGAGTGGGCCAGGTGTAGAGCTGGTCTTCGCCCCCAAAGAAACGTGTTCTGTCCAGTTTTTCTTAAAACACAACACAAGTTCTTTGTCTAGCTCTTATCTTTCTGTCTTTGATGGAGACATGGTGCATTAGGGTATAAGCTGAGCTGCTGTAGCAGAGACCCCAAATTACAGCGCTCAAACAATTTAGTTTCTTTCTGTCTTATGTAATAGTCCACACCTAAGTGGGAGATCCAGACAGGATATTTCAAAAGACCTTCCAGAGACGAGGCTCCTTCTATCTTATCATTTTGTCATTCTCTAGGCTGTTGCCCACATCCCGAAGCAGCACATCCATTCTCCACCCAGGGCGGGGGAGGGGGGCGGCGGGGGAGGAAGTGCAGGTGGGCATCTTTTCCTTTAAGGATGTGACCTGCACTCCCACACTTCCTTCTGCTGACCTTCCTTGGCTCCCAGTCCATAGTCACGTTACTGCAGGCCTTTCTCAGAGGCAACGGACCAGCTCGGACGCGTGGGATTCTATTGCTAAAAGGAACAACAGGGTATAAGTATCCAAGAAATATTTTTCTTCCCTTTTAACTCAACCACAAGCAAGAGTCATGTTAGTCATGGCAGTGGGTCTGTGCCTCAGCGGGTGGTAGGGCTGGTGCGCCGTGTCTTCGCCATGACACCGGGACTAGCACACACAGAAAACGGAGGGAATATTCTCCCAGGATTCAAGAACCATTCTCTGATTCAGCAACGAATTCATGTCATGGATGAAGGAAGGTCTGACATGTCTGTTGTTTCCATGTTTACTTGATGAAAACAAACATATCAGCCAACACTCGCAGCTGCACTGCCTCGGAGAGCTGGGGGTTAGCCATTCACCAGGGTACCCACCTTTGTCTCTACTGCTCATCAGTCTGTGGCAGTTTAAGATAACAAATGCCTGACCCTTTCTCTCTAGCACAGGGGTGGGTCTCATGAAATATATTCTCTATATATAAAAAGCTAATATGCAAAGTGTCCCCTGGGGAGTTCGACCGGAAGACTGGGAGTTCAATCTCTCGCTATGATGTGTGCTGACCACCAGGGGGCGGCGCGGAACATGGCAGGTGACCAGCAGTGGCAGCGGGATGCTGAGGGAGCGAGGGAAGGAGGGGGCGGGGAATCTGATCAGCCCTGATCACTGGCCAGACCTAGGGACCCTACCCATGCACGAATTTCATGCACTGGGCCTCTAGTATATACATATTAGTAGTTATACTGCCTGTCTTCATATATATGTAAATATATACTAGATATTGAGCGAATGAATGATAATACTATACTATCATTGAACAACAAACAAAAAGTCTAAGTATGTCCCATGCAATATTTGGGATACTCTTATGCTAAAAACATTATTCATTGCTGACCTGCAATTTAGACTTAACTGGGTAGCCTGTGTTTTATCTAGCAAACTGGCTAAGTGACGTGCCCAAGGCCGCACGGCCAGTGCGTGGCCGGGTGGGGCTTGCACATGGCTGTCTGGCTCTGGAGACCACCTTTCCCGTGGCACATGCTGCTTGCCTTTCTGCAGCAGCCCCGTCTGAGGGAGGCTGAGGGGAGGACCCCCCAGGGAGCAGAGGGAATCTGTCGGAGAGGCTGCGGAGGGAGGGAGTTGGTTCTTGCTCCCGGAATGCTTGTCTTGCCCTCGTAGCTTGGGGCCTGGGAGAGTGCCCACTTGGGGTGAACTTTCTGGACTTGAAACCTCCATCCCCTCCCGGGACCAGGCAGGCTTCGGAGACGTGGCTGGCTGGCTGGGTGGGGAGCTGGTTGTCACAGGCGGGACGCGGCCAGCATCGCCGAATCTGTGTTTTCCGAGAGAAGTTGGAGGTCTGCACTGTTGTGAGGAACAGCCTTCTTTAAACGCTGGCAGCTGATGAACCCTCCCGCCGGCTTCCCATCAGGTGCTGCTGGGGCCTCCGCAGGGTAGGAGGCGGCCGGGCTGGGCTGCGTGTTCTCTGCTCCCGTCCTGTCCTCACGCACTCTCCTCACACCATGTCCAGGCGGCCGTGGAGCACCACCTGGAGCAGCGGCTGTACCAGCCCCAAAAGCTGCGGGAGGACCTGCGGGGAGCCGACGCCGGGCAGTTCCGCACCGCCATGCAGTGCCTCGCGGAAGACAAGAAGGACCGCTGGGTGAGGTTCCGAGGGGGAGTCAGCGAATGGAGCCTGATTCAGGTTCTGAGCGTGCTTTCTTTTTTAAAAAATATGTTTTTATTGATTTTAGAGGAAGAGGAGGGGAGAGGGAGAGAGAGATAGAAATATCCATGACGAGAGAGAGAGAAACGTGATCGGCTGCCTCCTGCACGCCCACCAGCGATGGAGCCACAGCCCGGGCTTGTGCCCTGACTGACCGGGAACCCATCCAGTGACCTCTTGGCTCCTGGGTTGATGCTCAACCACTGAGCCACACTGGCCGGTCAGGCCCTGACCTTCCGTCTCCTTCTCCCTCCCCAACCCCCTGGCAGTTTTGGGCTGAGATTTTCTCACTTTCTCTGAAGATCAAAGGAAGAGTCGTCTGATTCACATTCTCATGGCACCAGGGGTTTGGCTTAAGAACACGTGTAATGGGTGCTGTGCCCCCAGGGACACTGGGTTCAGAGATAAAAGACTGTCCCTGACCTCAGGGAGTTGACAGTCTGGAGTGGAGACAAATCAGATCATTTTCACAAAAGCTGGTGATGTGAGAGCCAAGCACGGCCTCAGACCCAGAAGCCCGTGGGGCCCAGCCAGGCCGGCCAGGCACCGAGGCTCTGAGATTCCTGTCAGAGGCAGGTCGTGTGGGTCAGTGTCCCCAGAAGGAGTTGAACAATTACACGTTTTCATCCTCACGGGTTTACTTCAAAGCCTGTGATTAAAATAGAATGGACACATTGAACCCGTGAGCTTTTAGTAGAAGTGTAGTGTTTCCTTCCGAAATGAATTGAACTTTTGAAAAAATACAGAGTAAATAATAGAAAAGGAAGTGCCAGTTTATGCAAAATGGGGATTCCCATGAAAGCGACGCTGATTAATGCGCACTGTGGGTTCCCACGTGCCCGGCGCTGCTCCCAGGGAATGGCCCGGAAGCTGTTTCTGAAAAGGGCCTGGTGTCAGCGCTCGAGGCTTTGCAGGCCTGCAGCTGCACAGCGGCTCACCTTCCCTGGGCAGGCAGGCACCACAGGTGGCAGGTGAGTGGGCGTGGAGGGCTCCAGTGACACTGTCCCCAGCAGCGGCAGTGGGCTTGTGGGCTCAGGACGGACCCTGGGCGGGTGCTGACTTCTCTCAGGACCTCCTGAAACAGGGCCGGAGGAATCTGACCATTTCGATACTCAGAGGAGGAGATGAGGGGAGAGATTGGGCGGTCACCTCGGGCTTCGGGGCTTAAAGGCGTGGCCTCCTGGTGCGCTGTGAGCCTGCTGGCCTCGGCTGAGCCCATGGGCCCTTCTCAGAATAATGTGTTAAATCTATAAAATAAAATACAAATGGCGACAAAGGAAGTCAATTCGATTGAAATACATTCATCAAAATGTGTAAATATAACACTGTGGACTGTCTCCTAAGCACCTACCGAGTATTGTCTCCTTCCAGGTGGGTTAGAGGCAGGCACTCATTCTATCTCGTTAAAGAGGGGGACGCGGACTTCAAGGCTGAAGTGATTCGCTCAGGAACACACACACAGTAAGCGCAGGGCCTGGGGTCTGAATCTGAGGATGTCCGGCCCTCGGACGCATGGGCTCACCCTATAGGAGGGCCGTGGGCACCTCCAAGAAGACACACGGCTTGGCTCAGCGCTTGGTGCGTAGTCAGTGCTCAGTGAATGGTGGCTGTTATTTTCGGAGGGTGTGGGTGAAGGACAGTGGGCCCAATCAGGTGTGACAGCCCTGTCAGCATTGCTGGGTTCTGTGGCTCACAGGATTCATTCATTCACTCATTCATTCATTCAGTCACTCATTCAGTCATTCAACAGGTTATTTCTCAAGGTTGTCTACGTACCAGGCATTCTGTTGGGCACATGGCTTGGGCCTCAGGGACCCCCTGGACCAACCCCACACTAGAATCAGGTGCCAGGGCTCCGGCCACCCCAGTGAGGTCAGATGCTACGATGGTGCTGGGCGCCTGCCCAGTGAGGCTGACGTGCTGACCGAGTTGACCACCGGCTTGGAGGAGCGACAGCCCATGAGCATCTCGGATGCATCACAGAGTTTGGCTCAAGATGCTCCTAGGAGCACGTACTGGGGGGAGAATTGATCTGACTGAAGTAGGAGGAGGTCAGAGAGGACATCAATTATGTGACGCCTGCGCTCAGCCTTGGAGGATGAGCTGGTTTCAGTAGGGGAAGGAATTGGGGAGGAATTCCAGCTGGAACAGGGCCGGGTGTGGCAGTCACAGGCATCTCAGAACAGGCTGTGCAGTGGGTGGGCAGGTGGAGGCCTTGACGTGGAGAAGGGTTGCCATGGCAGTGTGGGGTCACACAGTGGTCCTTCCTTTCCTCGCTGCTGCCAAGTGGGTCCCTTCAGCGCCTCTGCGTTGAGACCGCGCTCAAGACCACCCGCTTCCTGTGCCTTTAGGAGCTGGAAGGCATCGTCATCGATGTGGGGGAGATTCGGAAACAAGCCTTGCAGAGCCCGGGCGTGAACCGCAGCCTGCTTCTCATCACGCTGGAGCGGTGCTTCCAGGAGCTGAGCTCCCTGGAGTGCGTGGCGGTCCTGGGCAAGGTGCTGCGGGGGTCCCCGGGCCGCTTCCTGCAGCCCGGCCTCCCAGCGAGGCTGCCCGCGGGCCTGCGCGAGGACGCCTTCAGGAACCTGTGAGTCCCCACCCCCCCCTGCCCTCAGGTTCCTGTGAGAGTCCAGGCGGTGACACAGGGTGTCCAAAACATGTATGCGCACTGAGTGATTATGAAGTCTGCTTATTAACATGCTGTTCATTTTCAAAATTTAAAAGCATCTACAGAAATGAATAATTTTTTTTGTTAATGCCTGTTTCAAACTGATGACCCTTCTGGTCCAGGTGCTGCTGATAACGCGCTGGAATCGCAACATCAAGAATCACTTCGTGTGGTATCTGTGCGCCCTCAATTCGTCAACTGTTGCCGGTTTTGTACCGTAAACTTTATCTTTTATGTCTCCCCAGACAAAAAAGTCCGGTGGATAAATTTTCTTTGTTCAAAGCTTATTCTGGCTTCACCCATTATTTTAAATCGGTTAATCCTGAAAAGGAGTGAAAATTGAGCGAATTATCTGCTGATAAAGCGTGTCTACATTTTTATACACACTTGGGTAGAAAGGCAATGTTCGTACTTCAACTGCATTTTCAAATTCCCACTAGCATTTTAGGATGAATTTCCTTTGTTCAAAGCTTAGTCTGGCTGAAAAGAAAGAAGCATCAATTGAGCCACAGGCGTGAAAGTGTGGCACGTGTTTTGGGACACCCTGTACATGGCAGAGGGAGAGGGCGGATGGAACAGGTCAGTGTGTGAGGTCTGGAACAGAAGCTGGAAACCTGTGGAGTTTAGAGGTGGTTTGATTAGTATCTTCCAAATTCCAGTCACTCCGGACCTCACAAATTTTGCCACATCTACACACATCTGTGCTATTATTTGCTTCCTGTTTTTCTTTATAGTGACTCAATCTTTTTCCTTAGTATTTATTTGAAAAGCAAATTTGATCTCATTACTGCAAATGGGAAATGAGTATTATTTGTCTTAAGTAAAAGTAGTCATAAAAGTAAAAAACGATAACAGAGAAAATGGTGCCACTCAATGCCAGCGAGGCGTGTGCTCCCGGCGCCTGAGCTCGGCCTCCTGTCAGTGGAAAGGAGCTGGGCCTGAAGGCGCCCTCACACCCACCCTCCTCCAGAGGGCGGGGCTGGCGGGTGCTGCGGGAGTGGGGGTGGGGAGGAGGGGGCAGCACCTCGCCCTGTGAAATTACACCTTGGGTGCCGGACGCCCAGTTAGAGGGTTGTGTCCGGGACTTGACAGGCCCTAGGCATTGCGACCCTTGCCAGCTCCCCTTTTACTAATTATATCTCTTTATGGCCCTAAAGGGCCTTTCCAACCCTAAAAACGATTTAGATGAAGGAAAAGACCGGTGAAACAACCACTTGGGAGCGTCTTGTTTCCAAAAGGGAATCATCGGATCCTGTAGTTGAATAGTTTCAGGCGCAGTTAAATCCAGAAGCTCACATCACGTGAGGAACATCTTTGGACTGTTGTCTCCCAGCTCTGCCGTCCTGACGTCAGGCTCCCACCCCACCCCCTGCGAGCGAGGCCTTTCCGCCATCCTCAGAGCGCCCTGCCCAGAGGGGCAAAGTCTCTTTCCAGCAGGTCCAGCAAAGTCCCGACCTGATTCTCACTGGTCCCGACTGGGTCACATGCCGTTCTGGGTCCAGTCACTGCTGCAAATGGATCTAATAGGCTCAGTGCTTAGGTGGCTGACAGTCCCACGCAAACCTCGTGGGTGAACCAGGAGGAGAAGTGTTTCTCCAAGAGAAATCGAGGTGCTTTGTGAAGAAGAGGGGTGTGGAGGGCCACTGCAAACACGTCCTATGGGCCCTGGATAACAGGGGGAAAGGTCACGGATCTCGCGGACAGAAAGACTCGGAATAATGCCTATCTAACATTCCCTGACCCCGGTTCTCAGCGCCGGAGTGGGGCCCGGAATATGCCCCACGCCCCCTGAAGACACGCTAACGCGTCATCCAAACAGCCTCTTCTTTTATGGATAAGGGATCTGAGGCCCAAAGAGGGGGGCTTGCCTTACTCTTGCCAGTTTTGTCCTTTTCCTACTCGGCTCGTCACCCCTCTTCTTCTTGTGAGGATGATCCTTTAATCCCTCCCTCATTTTTCAGACGAGGAAACTGAGGCACGAAGAGATGAACTCCCCCAGGTCAGACTACAGGGACCGCAGAGCCTGCGTGTTTGCTGGTGGGTGAGGTTTCCCATGAAGGAGGCTCACCATTCCCCCAGAACCCCGTGTGCTGCCCTGTCACCCCCTCAGGCCTGGAAAACAAAAACAACAGACAAAAAAATCCAATGAAAACAAAAACACAGAAAGAAGATATTAAGAAGGACTTCAGGGAAAGTTTGCTTGTTCGCTGTGACGTGGCTGGGAGAGTGGCCAGGGGAAAGTCTAAGCTTGGAAAAGGCTGGGGACGCGCCCGGTGGGGAGTTGGTTTCAGTGGGGGGGGGGGGGGGGGAGGGGCAGGGAGACTTCCCGGAGAGAGACCCAGCTGCTTTGCAGGTTGAACAGGGTGGTGAGCTGTGCCAGATGCTGTGATGGGTCAACTCGTCTTTGGGCCAAACGGGACCAGCAAGGAGGTCACGGCGACGTGGGTCAGAGGAGTGGGGTGGAGGTGAGGAGACCAGACCTCAGTGGCTAACAGGGACCGGACACTCGGCCCAGCGGCATGTCTGCAAGCAGCACAGCAGCCGATGGCAGGTGCGGTGAGGACGTGGTGAAGCCAGGCCCGCACACGCTGCTGCTGAGAACGGAAACGGTGCAGTGACTTTGGAAAACAGTCTGGCAGTTTCTCAAAAGGCTACTTGTAGAGCCGCCACTTCGCCCAGCCACATCCACACCCGGGCATGTATCCAAGAGAAATGACAGTGTGTGTCCACAGAAACCGTGTACATGGATGATTGCGGCAGCCTGGTCATAACAGACAGAGGGGGGCCCTCCGAGCCCGCCAGCTGATGAACGGGTGAAGAGCACGTGGTGTGTCCGCACAGACACCAAAGGAATGAAGTGCTAACGCCGTGAACCTTGGCAACATGACGCCGAATGGAAGAAGCCAGTCCCCGGGATGCCGCTGCATCTGATTCCATTGATCTGAAATGTCTGGAAGCGGCAAATCCACAGAGACAGGAAGCAGATGCGGGTCTGTAGGAGTGGGGGCGCTAGCAGTTGAGGGCACGGGGATTCTCCGTGAGGTGCTTAGCATGTTCTAACGTCGATTGTGGTAATGGTTGTACAACTCTGTGGTTGTCCTGGACACCACCAGCGTGTCCACTTTAAATGGGAATTGTATGGTATGTGAGTTATAACTTCAAATCAGGATGCTTCCCAAAACAGTGGCCTTGAGGTGAGGACGTGGAGACCGGTCTTTGGAAGGGGCCCAACGGAGGCAGAGGAGGAAATGGGAAACCAGGCTTCCGTACAGCAAGGGGGGCAGGAGGGTTTCCAACACGAGGGGGGCGGGGGGTCGCGGGGGAGGGGCTCGGGGCATGAGCCCGTCTGCCCCTCAAGGCAGCCTCCACCTGTTTTGTTCCTTAGTTGACACCTGTGTTGTGTCCTTTAGGTCCGCGGTGTTCAAAGACCTCTACGACCAAACCCCGGCCCGTTCCCAGAGAGCCCTCTACTCCTGGATGGCGGGCGCGCTGCGGGCGTCCTCCAGCGCCACCGGTGAGCCTGCTGGCGGCCCCGCCCGAGGGCCGTGATCCTCGAAACAGCTGCCGCGTCTCCAAAGGCGGGGCTTCGAGTTCAGTGTCACTCAGGGTTTTTACCTGCCTCTCCCCAAACTTGCAGGAAGAGTTTGTGTGGCTCGTGGAATAAAACACGAACCCCGCTTCACCAGGCCTGAAATCAGGCTGCATCCGTGTCTCCCAGATGGCACCCCGGCTCCTGGTGGGATGGAAGTGGGTGCCTCCTAGACTTGATGAGAGCCTTTGGAGTGAGGCCACAGGTTCAAAATCTGTATGAAAACCTCTGTGTGACAGTGGCACAAGGTGACCTTTAAAAATAAAATCTAGCCTGGCCCGCGTGGCTCAGTGGTTGAGCATTGACCTATGAACCAGAAGGTCATGGTTTGATTCCCAGTCAGGGCACAAGCCTGGGTTGCAGGCTCCATCCCCAGTGGGAGGCATGCAGGAGGCAGACGGTCAATGATTCTCTCTCATCATTGATGTTTCTATCTCACTCCCTCTCCCTTCCTCTTTGAAATCAATAAAAATATATTTAAACAAATAAAAAATAAAATATAGGAAATAAAGCACAGAAGTTTAGGCCTAAGCTTCCTGGCAACCAAAGCAGAAATAGGTCAGGATGCATTTATTTGAGAGATGCTCATTAAAAACCTGCCGTGTCCCTCCAGGGGCACATAGAGTCCAGTTCCTTGGAGACAGGAAGTAGCATGCTGGTCGTGTGGTGGGGGTGGGGTGGAGGGGTGAAGGGGAGGAGGAGGGTTCGTGTTTTGGGAGCAGAGGTCCGGTTTTGCAAGATGAGAGAGTTCTGAGGTGGACAGCAGGAGAGCCGACAGCCGTGGGTGTGCTGGAGGCGCTGTGCTGTGCATGCAAGGCGGCCAGACGGAAGATTTATGGGGCGCATTTGCCCACAGCTGAAAACGAGCGATACAGAAAGAGCACGGCTCTGTGGGTGAGCAACGCCAACAGTTCTTTAGTAGCTTTAGCTTGTTGAGTGTTAATGTTAGCAATACACACAGGGCAGACTTTTAAAACACCTTTAGAAAGCCTCCCATTTGTCGGCCACTTGGGACAGAGGAACGGGAGACAGTCTTCGCTGACGCGAGCTACTGCTGTACCCGAGGGGAGGTGCAGAGGCCGGCAGGCTTGGCACGCATTTTGTACAAAGGGACAGAGTAAATACGTTAGACTTTGTGCACCTATGGGCTCTGCCTCCACGAGTCAGCTCTGGTGTTACAGCGAAAGCAGACACAGGCAGTAGATGAACAGGCCTGGCTGTGCCCCATAAAACCTTGATGGGCACTGAAATCTGAATTTCATGTAATTTTCATGGGTCACAAAATATTCTTTCTTTTTTGATTTTTCTTTCAACGATCGAAAAGTGTAAAAACCAAGCTTGCCGGTGGCACAAGCACAGGTGGTGCGCTGTGGCCGGCAGGCCCTGGGCCAGGCAATCAGGAACGACCTGGCATTTCTACTGTTTAATCTCGTCACCACTCCCCTAGCCCTATCCCCTCTGGCCACCATCAGTCTGTTCTCTGCGCCTATGAGTCTGTTTCAGTTTTGTTTGTTCATTTATTTTGTTTTTTAGATTCCACATGTAAGTGAGATCACATGGTCTTTTCTCTGTCTAACATTTCACTTAGCATAATGCCCTCTAGATCCATCAGTGTTGTCACAAATTAAAAAAAAATTTTGGGGTTAAACCTCATCTGAGGATATTTTTTCCATTGATTTTTAGAGACAGTAGAAGGAAGGGAGGGGAGGAGGGAGGGAAAGAGAAGGAGAGAGAGGAGAGAGAAAAGGGGAGAAAGAAAGAGCGAGATGTGAGAGACACACATTGTTTGGTTGCCTCCTGATTGAGCCCCAACTGGGGCCGGGGATCGAACCTGCAACCCAGGCATGTGCCCTTGAACGGAATTGAGCCCGAGACCCTTTATTGCACAAGGGGATGCTCTAACCATTGAGCAACACCAGCCAGGGCAAGATTTTATTCTTTTTTTATTGTTTAAAGTATTACATATGTCTCCTTTTTCCCCATTGACCCCTCCCTCTGGCCACCCCCACCCCCGAGGGCAGGCCCCCACCACCCCAGGGCTTGTGTCCATGGGCTATGCTTATATGCATGCCTACAAGTCCTTTGGTTGACCTCTAACCCCCCCTCCCCCACCCCTTGTCTCTGGATCTATTTTTGTTCATCAGTTTATGTTCATTATATTCCACAAATGAGTGAGATCATGTGATATTTATCTTTCTCTGACTGGCTTATTTCACTTAGCATAATGCTCTCCAGTTCCATCCATGCTGTTGCAAATGGTAAGAATTCCTTCTTTTTACAGCAGCATAGTATTCCATCGTGTGGATGTACCACAGTTTTCTAATCCATTCATCTGCTGATGGGCACTTAGGCTGTTTCCAGATCTTAGCTATGGTGAATTGTGCTGCTATGAACATAGGGGTGCATATATGCCTGGTGCACCCCTATGTTCACCCCTATGATTGGTGTTATCTGTTTTCTTGGGATATATTCCTAGAAAGTAGGATCCCTGGGTCAAATGGCAGTTCCATTTTTAGTTTTTTGAGGAATCTCCATACTGTCTTCCACAGTGGCTGCACCAGTCTGCATTCCCATCGCAGTGGGATTAAACCCTTATCAGAGATAGCATTGGCAAATATGTTCTCCCATGCAGTGAGCTTCTTGTTGTTTTGTTGATTGTTTCTAAGATTTTATTATTTTTTTATAGCTGAGTAATACTTCATTGTGGATACATACCGCTTCTTTATCAGCTACTGATGGACACCTGGGCTGCCCCCCTATCTCGGCTCTTGTAAATAATGCTGGGGTGCAGATAGCTTTTCAAATTAGTGTTTTCATTTCCTTCAGAGAAGTACCCTGGAGAGGGATTGCTGGGTCATAAGGTCATTCTATTTTTATGTTTTTGAGGACCCCCATACTGTTCTCCATCGTGGCTGCACCGATCTGCACTCCCATTCACGGTGCACGAGGGTCCCTTTTCTCCACATGATGGTTCTTCAAGTTCTGTTGACATCCCACTGACGGGGAAATTCAAAGAGTGGCGAGTCCTCTGGGAGTTCAGAGGAGAGAGAGTACTGCTGGCTGGGAGACAAGGTGGGCTGTAGGGAAGAGGAGATGTGTGAGCTCAATTTCGAAGGTAGGATTTGGAAGCAGAAGGGTATCAGGGGTGGGGAACGTTCGGCCTGCGGACTGTATAAGTCCCTCAAAACCATTTGGTCTGGCCCTGCCAAGGCATTGGGGGTGAGTTAATGAAATGTTTGACCAAATACAGCAGGCTCATTTTTAAGTTGATAATTTTGTATGGCCCGTAAATGATGTCATAAACATCCAAATGGCGCTTGGCAGAAGAAATGTTCCCCAGCCCTGGTTAGGTGAAAGGCATTCCTGCTCACAGGAAGGGCCTGAGCACGCAGAGCTTGGCAAACGTGGGGTGCGTACAAGTGGTTTGGTTTGGCTCAAGTCTAGTAACATGGTGATAATCAGCAAGGATGATAACTATTATTAGTAATAAAAGAGTCAGATACATTTAAAGTTGCCAGGTTACTTAGTAACTAAGTGAGCTAAAATAAAGCTCTATTCTGTGGTCTGAAGTCTTAACAAATAACCTGCATCTCTAACAGCTCCCGGGGCTGCTGGTGCGGCCTGTGCAGGCAGCACACTGCTGAGTGACAAAGCCCTGTTGGCGGCGTCTGCGCCTCCCAGTGCTCGGCGAGCGTCCGGGGGCCAGGGTGCTGCCCGTGAACGTCATCGGGTGAACTAACGGGTTCATGAATGCAGGAAGGAGGTCCTGCCATCAGGCCCCACCGCAGTGCAGGGCTCTTACTCACCCATTCACTTACGAACCCATTCATTTATTTGCTTGCAGATGGGTCTGCTTCATGGGTCAGCGCAGAAACCTTATGGATTTTGGGCAGATACATGGTTCACCTACCCCTTGAAGAAATTACGAAAATCAGTCCCATGGAAGTAAGTCGGGAAGGCACACTTGCTAACTCACCGGGAGGAGGTCAGCCAGCAGCCCAGGGTAGCCGGGTCTCTAAGAAAACGCTTGGAGAGCGGCCTCAAGCCGTCAGCCCCCGACTGTGTTCTTGTGCAGACGAACCCAGAAAAGGGAAGGGTTGTGGCCACTGAGACAGCTCTGACGCGAGCCAACGTGACAGGAGGTTGGCTGTGAACCAAAAATCACGAGTATTTTCGTCCTCCAGAAAGGCCACGGAAAATAGCGCTAGGTTTCCCGGCCGGAGGCGTGAACCCGAGTGGAAGCAACATGGAGTAGCAGCACTGAGCTCTGTCCTGCGCTGCTTAGCTCGTGGCCAGCCTGTTGCTCTCCTGATGTTGACCCAGTGACCCTGACTCTGGACTGCAGCCTCCTAAGCACGCCGCCAACCGGAGGCGCTCACGGAGCGGTGGGCTCGCCTCCGCCTCTATCCCGAGCGCCCAGCTGGCCAGTCATCTACTCTCAGTGAGAGAAGTCTTTGCAGCAAAGTGACAGGCTGTGCAAGGGCCGACTGACCCAGCAATGCCTGGCTATTACGAAGCCAGAGGCAGCACGGGGCTCCTCTTTCTACCTGGGAGGCTGGGCACGTGTTGAATGTCTTGATTTTGTAACCTGATTACAACATGGGCTGACCCCGCTGTGCCCTCCCAGTGCTGAGTCCAGGAGGTGAGAAGACAGGTTAGATTCCGAGGAAGCTGGGCAGGGGACATTGCTAGGGTCAGGTCCCACACGCACCTTTTCTTCTGCGTCTAGAAGTGTGGGGAAGGGCGGGGAAAGCAGGCCCCTGCCGAGGGCATGTCACAGGGGCAACGGGCAGTCTCTGGGGGAGAGGCAGCTGTACGAGGCCTTTAAGCACAGAAAACAGTGCGTTGAAACATCGGGACATTAAGGGGACAGCCTTGGACACAGGCAAAAAGTGAGCAGGAATAGAAAGATACTAATATGCTGCTCAGATTCTTTCTATTCTAGTTCACTTTTTAGTCTTACAAAGAATACATGTTTTTAATTTCCTGAGGCCATTTATAAACTCACTCATCTATTCAAAAAACTCTGATTCCCCAAAGCAGGAAATGTGTGGTCCACATTCTCTAACCCAAGTATAACAAATCTAGAAGTAAATGCCCAAGTATTAGCTTAAAAAAGTCCAGCTTCATGGGTGGTAGAAGTAATGCTCCTTAAATACCAGGGGGCTTTCTGAGGCAGGAAGCACTGCACACCGTGTCTGGGATGGCGCAGCACAGACCCCGGGCGGGTGCCGCGGCCACGCCCCTCCTCCGCCTGACCTTTCTGTGCTTGTCCACCAGATCGGGCTGTTCATCAGCTATGACAACGCCACCAAGCAGCTGGACACCGTCTATGACATCACGCCGGAGCTGGCCCAGGCGTTCCTGGAGCGGATTGGCTCCTCCGACTTCGACATGAGGAACGCCTCCACCGTCCACAGGCAGGGCCCTCCGAGCTTTGCCCAAGACGCGCTCTAAGCTCAGGTTCCTCTGAGCAGCAAAGGCTCCGGGAGGGAAGGGGAGTGGCTGGTCCGTGAATAGTCTCAGGGGAGGGGCTTCCCCAGAGACCTCTCCAAGGCCTGAGGGGCACAGAGGCTTTCTGGGGTCTCCTGGGTGCCAGGCATTTTATGCAGCGTTGTCAAGCTCAGGGTTTAAGCCTCGGCACGCTGTCCGTCCCAAGGTAAATGTGTAATTCCCAGTGAGCTGGGCGGAGTGTTGGAAACAGCTCCTGGGTCCCCATACTTGTGAACCCTTGTTCTCTAGACTCTCCGGTGGGTTGTTAGACCCCAGATGAGATCAGCTCTAGAATTTAGGGGTTGTAATGGGATCCTCCAGGAGCCATTGCCAGCAGGAGCTGTGCCCAGGAAGAGTCCGAATGTCGGGGGGATGGGCATGCAGTGTGTGTGTGTGTGTGTGTGTGTGTGTGTGTGTGTGTGTATGTGAGAATACCCAGGCCTTGCTGTCTCCTCCAACATCACCTACCACCTTCCAGTTTTTCAAGCTCACGTGTGAGAATGTTCTTACATAAAACTGTTACCCCTTCTTCCTCCATCCCTAGTAATTCTCACCAGCAGCCTGGGTCCCCTGTTTCTATGGTTACACGAAGGATACCTTAGTGCAGCGGTTCTCAACCTGTGGGTCGCGACCCCTTTGGCGGTCGAACGACCCTTTCACAGGGGTCACCTAAGACCATTCTGCATATCAGATATTTACATTACGATCCATAACAGTAGCAACATTACAGTTATGAAGTAGCAACGAAAATAATTTTATTGGTTGGGGGTCACCACAACATGAGGAACTGTATTAAAGGGTCACGGCATTAGGAAGGTTGAGAACCGCTGCCTTAGTGGGACCTGAGCCAGGCCTGGTGTGATCCTGGCTCTGCAACTTATCAGCTGTGTGATTTCAGCAGTGTTCACGCCCCTCTCTGTGCCCCCTTTTTTCTGCCCGTGAAAGGGGAGGCCAGGGCCTGCCCACCTCACTGAGTCCTTGTAAGGACCACACACACGGGACACAGTTATGTGCTCAAGAAATGTTAGTTATTCTCAATGCGCTTATGCACACTCAGCCTTCACTTCCCCCGGCATCTTTCTCATTCGACACAATTTCAGACCCTCCCTGACCCGGTTGCTCTCCTGTGGACACGTCTGAGCATGTCCGTGTCCTGGGAGGGCGGAGCCAGGCGGGGCATGGCCAACAGGGCGGTCACCACACCACGTCCAGGAGATAGTGCGGAATGCTAAGAGCAGCCAGGACCGAACGTGTGGTCCGTCCCCACCAGGAAGTGTGCTAACCTTCAGCATGCCTCTCCTCACACGCGCAGTGTTCCCCGTCCTGCACCCATCACATGTGCTACGTGTGCTCACCAAAAAGCAAACCTGCCCTGTCAAAGCCTCCGGGCCCAGCCCTGTGCAGACGGACTGTGGGCAGCAGCAGCCTGGCCGCCCTGTGCAGACGGACTGTGGGCGGCAGCCTTGCCGCCCTGTGCAGACGGACCGTGGGCAGCAGCAGCCTGGCCGCCCTGTGCAGACGGACCGTGGGCAGCAGCCTGGCCGCCCTGCGTAGACGGACTGTGGGCAGCAGCCTGGCCGCCCTGCGCAGACGGACCGTGGGCAGCAGCCTGGCCGCCCTGCGCAGACGGACCGTGGGCAGCAGCCTGGCCGCCCTGTGCAGATGGACTGTGGGCAGCAGCCTTGCCACCCTGCGCAGAGGGACCATGGGCAGCAGCAGCCTTGCCGCCCTGTGCAGAGGGACCATGGGCAGCAGCAGCCTTGCCGCCCTGCGCAGAGGGACCATGGGCAGCAGCAGCCTTGCCGCCCTGTGCAGACGGACTGTGGGCAGCAGCCTGGCCGCCCTGTGCAGACGGACTGTGGGCAGCAGCCTGGCTGCCCTGTGCAGACAGACTGTGGGCAGCAGCAACCTTGCCGCCCTGTGCAGATGGACCGTGGGCAGCAGCCTTGCCGCCCTGTGCAGACGGACTGTGGGCGGCAGCAGCCTTGCCGCCCTGTGCAGAGGGACCATGGGCAGCAGAGAAGTCAGGTGACCTGCCGAGTCCGCTGGCCTGAAGCTGGGCTCTTCACCACAGGGGACGGCGTTCCCAGCTGGACCAGGGTCACGTCCCACTGCTGCCCGACACGCCTCTGTCTCCTTGGTTTTCTGTCCTTTGGAGGTCATTATCACCTGGGTGTGGTTTGCAAAGCATCCTGGCCATGAATCTGGGCCCCAGAGGACCCCTGGCGGGCGGCGCCGTCTCCCAGGAAAGGGGGTGTCTCTGTGGCTAACTCTGCACAGGCTGCTCTCAGGCCCCCCCCACCCAGGAGGAGAGCTGACCGCTGGACCCAGCTCCGAGCCCAGCCCCACTGCTTGTCCTGTGCAGGTCCCCGCGCCCTGCGCCAGGCCCCTTCTCCTCTCACACAGGCTGGGGCTGCTCGTCTGTTTCTATGGAGACCTGGAGCTGCTGGACGCCGCGCTGGCCCGAGTCCTCCTCCACCAGATGATCAAGTGCAGCCGTCTCCGGGGCTTCCAGGCTGGTGTCCAGAAGGTGCGGATGGGATGCACAGCCCGGGCCGGGGCTTCAGTTTTACTGGCCAGAGAAATGGGGAGTCTTGCCCGGCCTTTGAGAGAAACATGTAAGGTTAGTCGGGACCTAGGTCCAGCCAGAGTAGACGGTGCCTCAAACACACGAGCTTAACAGGGGAAGGAGCAACACAAAACTAGGAAAAAGCTTGGTGAGATCAAAATTCTCTCAGAATGGCCACCTCAAACTTAGAGGAGCGGGTCACTGGGGGATGGTAAGTGCAGCTCCTGAGTGCTCAGGTGGAGCCAGACTGCGTGTCTGACCAGCGCCCAGGTGATGTGCTGCTGCGGCCCAAAGACCACACGTGAGCAGTGCTGCTCTAGCACCCTCGCTGAGCAGATGTGGAAGCAGGTGTGGGAGCAGGTGTGGAGCAGATGTGGGAGCAGGTGTGGAGCAGATGTGGGAGCAGGTGTGGAAACAGGTGTGGGAGCAGGTGCGGGAGCAGGTGTGGAGCAGGTGCGGGAGCAGGTGCGGGAGCAGGTGTGGGAGCAGGTGTGGGAGCAGGTGTGGAGCAGGTGTGGAGCAGGTGTGGGAGCAGGTGCGGGAGCAGGTGTGGAGCAGGTGTGGGAGCAGGTGTGGGAGCAGGTGTGGGAGCAGGTGTGGAGCAGGTGTGGGAGCAGATGTGGGAGCAGGTGTGGGAGCAGGTGTGGGAGCAGGTGTGGGAGCAGGTGTGGAGCAGGTGTGGAGCAGGTGTGGGAGCAGGTGTGGAAGCAGGTGTGGGAGCAGGTGTGGGAGCAGGTGCTGGAGCCGGTGTGGGAGCAGATGTGGGAGCAGTTGTGGGAGCAGATGTGGGAGCAGATGTGGAAGCAGGTGTGAAAGCAGGTGCGGGAGCAGGTGTGGGAGCAAATGTGGGAGCAGGTGTGGGAGCAGGTGCTGGAGCAGGTGCGGGAGCAGAGCGCTAGCGAAGGAAAGCGGCTGCGTTGGGGGAACAGGTGCTGGGATGGCCATTTCTTTCACTTCACTCTGCTGCCCCCAAGTGGCCGTTTCAGGACGGCCCGGAACACGGGGTACACACATCTGAAGTAAATGCATAGGTTCTTCATACAAATCCAGGTGTTAGAACATGAACCGTGCTTGCTTTTTTCCTTTTGTGCAGAGGTCATGTTATAAGTGGCGACTGGAAGCAATTGGGAAACACACATGACTAGCGCTAGGCAGACATAACATCATTGTTCAGGTGGTCATAGAAGCGTGGGATTTTGTAAGATATCATTTTAAGTGAAAAATATAGAAAAGTGCACTTCTGTTCATATCCCAATCATGTAAAAATATGTACTGTGGTTTATTTATAAAGTACATGTTTATGAAGGCATAGAGGTCTTAGCAGCCGGCAGTTATTTGCATGAGGCAGGGTTTCCAGGAGACTTACTTTTTGTTACCACTGGGAATTACGTTGGCATAGATTGCATATCACCATGAGAACCCCTGGGTGTTTCAGGAAGGAAGACAGCCACGTATACCGCAGTAGAGTTCAAGGTCACAAAGGAAAGCAGATACTGTGCAAGGGGGTGGCTCTATGGGTGAAGCTGACGAAATTTCCTCCTGCCATGCGTTCAGGCTGATTTAGTAACAGTTAGAATTTAAATGAAGCACAAGGTCTAGGCCGGAGGAGGCGGTGTGCTCATTAGGGTGACTCGCTGTCTGGGCCTGGCAGGAGTCCCTCCCTGCCTAGGGTCCTCTCCCACTGGCGAGGCAGGGTGCTGGGAGGCAGGGTGCTG